TTTTTTTTTTTAAGGGACACCCTGTATTTAGAGAGAAATTTCACTATTTGCACATTTTGTCAACATTCACTAGCTGCACAGTGTTTGAAGCTTACATAGACTTCTAGTTCAAAGTCCAGTGTTATAATTGATTAAACCGACTTTGTTTGTTTGGTATGATACAAATATCTGCATAGACAAGGGCGTCATGACAATGTAAGAATTCTATTTTTGTGTTTAGGGCCATTCGCCGACTAACCTTGCTTTCCAGTAATAGTGCAGCAGCGTGAACTATCTCGTTTCAAGCGTGTCTGGTGCACTTGGGCAAAATATTTGTTTAGGTTGTAAGAAGATTATGCCACTTCATCGGTTCATGGACAAATTATCTTCCCAGTCTATTTTATCATTTATTTCACTGTTTTTTTAGAAGTTAAGAGAAATAAGTATACCCGGTCATATATATTTTTAAAAGAAATCAAACGGTATTTCAAAATACATTTCTTGTTACTAGGAAATTTCGTATCCTACCACAGCCTCGTATATTACCCATGATGGTTACATTACTTCTTATCTGAGTGTCTACATGTAAGGTACTGCTAGTTGGATATCTTTTTGAAAATAATAATTATAAGTTTATTGCATAGTAACATAGTAAACATAGTAATGAGTGGTACATTATAGCTTACATTTGGATATCTTGATATAAACGAAATGATGTCGGTCATAATTCATTTGAGATTGCCTAGTTATGAAGTTAGTAGCAAGAAAAAAATGATATGACCTTCAATCTAGTTTTCCCAAAACACGATCACATATATAACATTATTTTTGATATTTTCGGTCTATGATGACTCGTCCATCAAAACGTCTTCTTAGACCAAGCATAACCAGTTAAAAGAAATACAAAGTAAACATACCTCTTTGACATTGATATCTGGTAATTTTTGCCCTTTCCCAATTCGTGTTCAATTATGTAATGATTTATTTGTAACAAAATAATAAAAATATGAAATTCATTTTTTTCCCCATTGATTTGTCCGACCTTTTTAAATTTAATTTGCAAAAGACTGACGCACACCATTCTCACTGTTTACTCACAAATGCTTTCAATAATATCTATAATTGAGGCTGCATAACACAAACATCACGCTCCGTAAATATTAACATCTAATTCAATTTCAGATAAGAGGTAATATGCCACTGGTGATAGATGAGCTCTACTCCCTGACTAATAATTAATACCGCACTAAACACGGTTGCACATGAAATTGGAATCATTTTGTCTAACCTCTTTTCATGAAATGATTGTGACAATATAGTTTATTCTTGGCTGACACAAATCTACACAGACAAGCTTTTCTTATCTCTTTTATGAATTCATTGTGTCGATATGGTTTCTTCTTGATAGATAAAGTTTATGTGGTCTCATTACTGTATTGATCCATATATGTGAGTCTTTTGATTGATCAATATAAAGTTGTGAGAACTTTATAAATCAAGAATAAATCATTTGGTAATAATCACTTCATAAAAACAGATAAGTAAAACATTATTCCAACTTTATGGGCAACCGTGTATAATGTTCTCATAACTTTATTGAGTAATCTAAAAAATCATATATATTGATCAATAAAATGCTAAGAAGACATGAACTATATAAATCAAGAATAAAACCATATTGCCACGATCATTTCGTGAACAGAGGTAAGAAAAATTATTCTAACTTTATTGGCATCAGCGGATTTTCTTCCAAGGAAACTACTAGATTACTTTGTGTTTTCTTCGTAATAAATCTATTGGGATAACATCATTTTGTTGGTCGTGTTTGTGCACGCAAATTTTTAATCGCACATTGCTGTAATGTCATACGTTTATGAAAAAACTTCTTGTTGTTGTTGGTTTTTATGGCGTTTTCCATCGTCGTCGGATGATTTTCGCCAGGCAATGTACGTGAGAGGGCGTAGTTTCTGGTCCTCTCTTCGTATTGTTGCTCTGTTGGATCGACGATAGCCTGTGACGTTGTGTTTATGAAATTAATAATGTCAGTACAATAACATATTTTAGTAGTTATTTTCTGTATTCAATACAGAAAATAACTACTAAAATACATTAGGAAGGAAAGGATGAAGTGGTTGAATATTAGTTGCGTTTAATTCATTATGTTAAGACGTTAGTTTGACGCCTCTCTTCGTATAATGAAACCAGTGATTCATACTGAGGATAGCTAGAACTGTTCACGTATCAACTGCTCTCACATTCACAATTTATGGGAAAAAAAAGTTACTCACTTTGCATTACTCACTAATCTAATTAGATATGTCAGGGCGGAACATTTCCCCGTAATATATAATAACCATATATAAAAATATTATAAATTCATTTGCATACAAGACAACATAATTTTGACATCATTTGCACATTTACAATTTAATAAAAACTCACTGGATGATGACGACATCGATATAGTAGGGTATATTATCTAATGAGATGAATTTCCATTTCCTGTATTATTTTTCTGAAATGCATAGGATTTGTAACTTCCTTTAAAAAAAAATTCTTCCTGTTTTGTTATCACATAATGTAAATTTGTCATTGTACTTCCTTATATGTATAATTATGTTGTCCCATGACCATTCTTATTCTTAAACCGATGGGAAAAAGAAGACTTTCTGTTTTGACGGACATTCAATTATTGTTTTGTTATTTTAGTTATGTGACGTAAATTCTCACTTGTTATGTACAAATATTTCATGTAAAGATTGTTTTTATGTAAAAGATATTGTATTATGTACTGGGAGCAGCATGTTCGGGGCATACGAAACGGCATCATTGTGGCATTTCATTTCTGTCACCTGACCTATATGTTGCTACCACTCTTTTTTACATGCTGTTTTCATATTCTTTAAAAAAAATATATCTACCTGTCTCTTATCTTTAGTAATGTATTCATTTTATCGAGAAAAAACATTTCTGTTAATATTTTGTCTTTCTCTTTTTACTTTATTTTTGTTAGGCGTAGATTGGCACCGACAAATTGAATTATCAATTTTATTTCAGTAAAAGTTAGATAACTTTCGTATTGTGTTCTACCTCCTCTTTAAACAATCTCAGATCCGCCCCTATTTCTTAGTAGGAAATTATATAGCTCTTCCATCTATACTTCTGCATGACATGCATTGGGATTTCCTCTCTCTGAATAATAATAATAATAACAATATTCCATGTTTATATAGCGCTCAATACATCGATCCAACGATGTGCCTAAGCGCTTTACAGATACATTATCACCCCGGTCATCGGATTCAGGCGTACCCGCACAGCACACAATGTTCATTTTTCCACTCCCAGGGGAGCTTTCCAGCCAGTCGCCATTTTACAAGCGCACACTTGCTCGTCCAACCATAATGACTTTCGCATCCTATACCGGGTACCCATTTAACACCTGGGTGGAGAATAGCAAATGCAGGTAAACATCTTGCTAAAGGATATTAGTGCCGTGGCGGGATTCGAACCCTCGACCTTCGCATCTCCAGTCGAGCGCCTTAAACCACTCGACCATGACACTCTGACTGATTTAATCATTACTAGTGCCGGATGTATCACTTTCTAATGAACAATTTACAGACAATTATTGTATTACACTCTGAAGCCTACAACCACCAATCTTTGCCTTTACCTTGTATAATATTATCTTTCATAATTATCCATATTTCCAATTATACTTCGGGCATCATTTCTCATGTTGAATCGCTTGTCACTGGTACGTAATAATATTATGGTCCAGGAGGCTAGCAACATTTGAAATGTTACATGTTTATTCAGAGAAGGCGCTATGGCTCAGTGATGGAGCAGTGGTCTCTTAACTGGGAGGTCCAAGATTCGAACCAAGTCGATGGGCTTGCGCCCATGACAAGACTTATTCCTCATTTCCATGGCCCTAGGGGAGTACTTAAAGACGTTGGCTCCTGGTTTCTTACTGACAAGCACGTACATACATGCCTTCTTAGCAGTCAAGTAACAACAAAGTACCATATCTAAACCACCATCTGAGATAGACCTAACATTACGCAGATTCTATAGCAGTGTTATAATAAATGATCACAATAAGATCAAAAGTACATGTGTACATGCGATTGATTCTACAAACTTTTTTTGGAGATATGGGATCGGTTTATCGTAAAAAGGAAAGAAGAGATGGAGGGGCAACAAAGAAAATACCCTAAATGATATAGAGAGGGGCACACAGAGAGAAACACAAAATAAATGGTCTTTGTGAAACAAACAACACATACATGACACAAGGAAGTAATACAAATATCAAATAAATCACAGCGTTTGCTTTTGTATCTATTATAAGTTTATTACAAAATATGAGTCTTTAATCAAGATTAAAAACTGCAAATAAGTTAACATGCCTTCATCATAACCAGTCATAAAACAGATGACGATCGTTTCGATTGATAAATAAAAAACAAATTGATGCATCTCTTCCTTGAGTTGAATTGTACGATACGATAAAGTTATCTCTGCAATATAATTTTAAAAAATCACTTTAAGTAGTTATACAAAATAAAATAGCGTCCTTTCAATCATTACATACAATAAAATGCTCAAAGTTTTGATTATAGACACTTTTTACACTTTTAGGCCTGTTGGAATGCTGTCCAGTGATGTTTAAAATATATCATTCTACTTGACGGGGGGAAGGAACAAGAAAAACAAAATCACCCCCTTTCATCCCAATCGAAAGCAAATAAAAAACCTTTTCACGTATTTTCCAGATGGAGACGCTCCCATTGAGGACAGCTTTATTCTTGACAGCCGTGATTACGAAATCTAACGGATCTAAAGTTATGCCAGTATTGCGGGAAGCTCTTATGGATCAGCAATAATACAAGGAGTAATCGTTCGTATGGAAGCTATCGAAAACCATCCTTGTGTTAAAAGCGTAGATCTTGCTTTTAATTCAAAGGCAAATGCTCTTCATAATTTACTATGATTTCAAAAAGGATTTTTTTTCCCCTTCATATTACCCGTAAGCCATTTTCTCTCTCATACTGCCCATTACACTACTTGCTTGATAATGGAAATGGTGAAACATACGAGTAGTGTTGGATAGCCACGTAAATATAATTTTTAAATACTTATGACGCACAACGTTTGCGCTACAACATTATCCTTTTTCTTTGCCCCTTTTTATATATATTTGTGCATATTCGCCTGTGATAATATAATACAATCGTCCTAGTCATTCTAATTATGTAGCTGCCGATGTTTTCGATAGAGGTCTTCTAAAGCCATGGTTCTATTTCTTAGCAGGGTTTTCCATGCCGACGTCGCCTTGTCCTCCAGATGGTGGAATTCATCTTCCATGGCGTCGAACTTGAGATGACGAATTTTAGACTCTATAAGCGAACAAATTGAAAAGATGTAAATAAAATGGAATTATTTCATATACGGACTGCATGGAGATGATGATGTTGATGATAATAATAATAATAACAGCAACAACAAAACACAAAACAATAATATCAACTTAATTTTAGCCTTAAATACTTAATAATAATAAATATTACAATAACAAGGAGGTTTGAGACTATTTATGATTTCATATTTCACGTTCATTATTGAAAATCTTGTTTTACTGGTAACCTGAGTCTTACATTGTACAGTGACCCTCTTAGGCTGATCTGCTGGTCTCTTCTTTTACACTAAATAAAAAAAATAAAAAAAATTTGCATAACAATAATACATCCTATACTACTAATAATAAATAATTGCAGTGTTTGTTTACCAAGTGTAGCCTTAACAGTATAAACAGTTGGACTCTTTTCCTGAGGACCAAACATTTACTATTACCCAAGCATCGCTAGGTACCCAAAGTTGATTCATTTAGATCTTTGGAGGGAATATATTTCTCACCTGTTTTATGTTGAATCTCGCTTGATTTGATTTCTGTCCAGAAGACATCATGATCTTGCGCCACAGTACCGCTGTTAGGAATGATATTGTAAGACATAATACAAAAGTTCTTAAAATCCGAGAAAATAATTAGGAATCACACATTATAACTCCCAAGTGAAGGATAGAAAGCAATACAACTGATGAATGTTAAAATAGAATATAAAAACCACTGAAATATAGAACATTCTCAAGAAAAAAAAGTTAGAAATTGAGAAGAGAGATACAAAAAGGGGACAAACAATAGGATGAGAAACTTCAAAGGTAGGATGATAATCTTCCATCGAGGAAGACCTTTAAGGCGACGTTAATCTTCAGAGAAGAGGAATGAGACTGAATAAGGATTATGAAATGGAAATAAGAAGAATCGGATAAACTTTTAGACAAGGAAACTATTGAGAAATCTTAAACCAAGAAGAACGAACAATGCGCATATAATACATGACTTGTATACGAAGAGCAAGAGAAATGTCGGCTATACAAACAAACTTTCTCATCCATCATTTTGAACAATGATTCTCGGATCTCGGAAGTACTTTTGAAAAATATGATCTGCAGCAGTTCAGATTTTTCGTGTTTCTTAAGCCTTATGACAACCCCCCCCCCCCCCAAAAAAAAAAAAAAAAAAAAAAAAACTTGATGGCCATAAGATGGCAACACTTACAAGAACTCGATTGTGCCTACATCCTTCTTGGTGTGCCACATAAACATGATGCCCGGTAGCTTGTCGTCTGGGCTGGTGTGGGTGACACCATCATCCTCTGTCATGCATCCACGAAGCTGAGCGTTATCCGGTAGGGACGAGAAGTGCCCAACGGGCTCCTGGCCTCCAACGGATCGGGCCTGGATCAGGAACCCGCCATATGCTTGACTTCCTTCGATAGTAACTGTAAAGCCAGGAGAATTGAGAAAGGAAAAAAATGTTAATTTCGGTAAAGATTTATTATGATATTCACGCACGGCGAACCAAGGGGTACAACTAGACAATGTTCATAATAATAATAATAATAATATTTAATTTTTATATAGCGCTTATTACAAATGTCTCTAAGCGCTTTACCAATATACTATATAATAAGTAATGGATTTCAAATTCAACAAGTTTATTGAAATACAATTCTGACATATTAGGACTATCGATTAAATTAAATGAAGACAAAACAAAAATAGAGATATGATGGATAGAAACTGGACACATCGCATAATACTCGACGAAAAGTAATAACGCTATAAAAACAAAATACAATAGAGCTTAAGAAACAAAACATCAACAAAAAAATGGGCAAATTATATCATAACAAAAAGTGAGGTTGCCAACGAGATGTAGGGTTGAATGAGTTGGGTTCTGAAACGAAGACTGCACCATGTTCATTAAAATTGTCCGAAGGGTCGATCATAGATTCTTAAGCTTATTCCTCGACTTCCTTCAGGACAATACACTCTATATAGGACAACTTCGTTCCGGACAAACAGCCCCGACACCCGATGACAGATCCAGGGGGCAGAGGGGCTATGTGCCCATCCCTGCCATATCCAATCTGGCATTCTATAAGAACGCATCGAGTATGAAAAGAAAAACGTGTAAGTGTCCCTCATACGAGTTTTTTTTCTTCTTCAAACTTGAAGATATATTTTCGAGAGTTCACTATTCCATAACGGATACTCCCCCCCCTCCCCAACCCCCGGTAGGCATATTACGTGTACCTATTGGTATGACCAAGGAGTTTTTTTAGATCTGAAGTCCCAACTGGCAACAAATAATTTCAAGCAGCTCCCATTTTGCTAAGGTTGCATAATAGAATCTATACAGGTGTGCTGTTACCTTTGATGTCCGAGGTACGAAGCCACCAACATCATTGCACCAACATACAAAAGCCTAATTGCGTTAAGAAAGTGGCTTACATTATATAATAGCAGTTTTAATTGGTGAAAAAAAGTAATATTTTACAAATCTTAAACCTGCAATTTGACACTTTTCCGATTACTTCCGGATCACGAAAATAAAAAGTGAATTTGTTCAAATACAGTTCTTTATGATGTTAGATTAGTCAGATTAGTGCCCACCCATGCCCAGTCGAGTAATTTTGATTAATATTTCAGAAAATTTTGCTCCATTTCCTTTCGTTTGCCTCCTGTAAAGGTAAGCACTGTGTACTGCTCGTATTATGGTAGCGAAGAGTAATTATCATTACAAAAGCATATTTCCCTTTAAAAGTGGCCCGTTAGTTTGCAGCTAGGCAGATATCTTTTGTCTACGTATCTGCATAAAGATCCAATTAAGCACATGCCTGACATATTTTCTCCTGGCGGCATCGGACATAGTACAAAGGGAGTGAGCTAGACATGACTCCATCTCTTAAAACTCCTTGGTATGACTTCGCGATATTACGACACAAATACTGCCGCTAGTCTGATTTTCAGATAAAGCGACCCGCTATTGACTCTGTACAATGCAACGGTTATGTAATGACAGATTATTTGATTGTAAGTGCGTATAATGTCAAACATCTTCCAGACTGAGTGGGCATCTCATTCAAACTCAACAAAGGCCGTCTATAGCCCCGTCTATAGACCATAGCGAGGACCGCGGCAGGCAGCAGCGTAATATAAAAAGAGCTTCTTTTTTTCGTATTCTAACAACTACCTCCATTCAAAACCTTTCTGTTCTTAATAATGTTGACAAAATTGACAATCGTCATAATAGCTCGTTACAAATTATCTACATAAATGACAAATGACAAAAATATACTATAAGACTATCGTCATTCGTCATGTCTGCATGGACTCTGGAAAAAAAAAACATAGAAAACATGTGCCATTGATCAGTGGCGTAATGAGAAAAACTTCTCTTTTTTTGGGGGGGGGGGGGGGGTGTGGCAGAAGAAAAAAAACGCAAAATCATGTCATTTCAGCAAAATTTGTAAATCACTAGTATCGAATTAGAAGTAAGCCCCGTTTGAATTATTTTATCCCCCCCCCCCCCCCCCCCCCCCCCCATCATTACGCCAGTGCCATTGATAATGAAGGTGTCCTCGCGCCGGGCAATCTCGAAGAGTCGATAGATTTTATGTAGATTATGAATTATCTTGTAGGAAGGAGCATTTCAATGGGAGGCAATCTCGAGTACCGAGCAGTAAAAGTTCATGTAAGGAAATTAAATGTTATCATTCATTTGATCCTGTGAAGTTAATAAGGTCTTCTGGTGTGAACTCCACCCTTAGATATTTTTTTTCTCTCCAAATACCCCCTTTAAAAAAGTACATTTAAAGAAAGGTATGTACATGTATATACAGACCTATACTTTATAAATACATATAATGTACTTATATGAATGTACATTTTGAAGAAATATATTATAAGCATTGATTTTGTGTCTGCGTGTCTGCATGTTTAGCTAATCGAAATATATTTTATACCTATACTAGTACTACATGCATATTTTGGTGGATGTTGCTTTTGAAGTTTTAAAGTTAAACGATGGGTGCTTGCTTTATCTTATACTTTTCAATAATCTTTATCTTTTAATAATTAATATGTTTCTCTTTCCCAAATTAATTTAAAATTCATGTTAAATAAGCCTACCAACACGGGAAAGCTTTTCGACTGTGACCTATATTATAGGCTACCAATCGACTTATTAGATAATTTATGAAGAATAGGGAGTGAATTATCTTCCGGACTCACCTGTAATTTTGTGACCGATTTTATATTCCTTTGAATCTACAGTGAATGAATAGGGACTAGGTCCTTCGTGCGGCTCGATGATTTCCCCATCCGTCGTGTGGTGTTGCGGGGCAGCGTCGGCGCAGGCCTCCTTTGGCGCCCCGTCTGGATAGGCGTGAACGTTTGAGCTTATGAACTGCAGTAAGATAGTGGTAAGCACCAGAACGAGACGAGAGTTTCTGACCGGTAACGCCATGTTGGACATTAATGATATGGTCACTTTGAAGTTAGACTTACAACTTGGCAAGTTTGATGGGTTAGGTAGGCGTGATCACAACATTTTCTGTAGATTTGTACTATCCCAATATTACGTTGTTGATTTGACCTTTGTTCCTTCTGCTTGTTTAGTTGTGTGTAAACATGGTTTAACGCACCTTTGGTCGATGTCGCCTACGCTGTTAAAGAGTTACCTAGCCTAAATGGCCTGAATATGCATAATGATTACCCAATTAGAAACTAAGACTGTACACGCATTGTGATACTGATCACCTACTTATCCTACTTTTAATTATATATTTAACCTTCCACGGGGTTCCTTTATTATGCAATTTAATACAAACATGGAACATATTAAATAATATAGACATGCATAATATTTCGTGTTGATATCTCTTGGCCAAGCGGCATATCGCTATAAAAACATGAGAAATGGATGGACGCCAATCGGGGCGCCAATCGGGGCGCCATGTGTCCTATTCTTGGATTGATGGCGTGATAAAGGCAACATATACATGGAATAAGGGTTTACTTGTCTGACCTGAAATAAATGTAGAGATAACTCTCACATTGAACAGTGATAAATGACGGAAGGAAGGAAGAGTTCAAGGGAAAGGAAAGTGATTAGTTTCTAATTTAAGAGAATATGCCGCTGATAATGGGCATGCCTCTTAATTACCCCCCCCCCCCCTTCCCACCTCCCTATGGGGAAGAGAGAGAGAGGGTGATGTGAGAAGGAAACATCGACATCTCTCATCATGGCAACGCCCCCCCCCCCCCACAACCCCCATTCCCTTCCCTGCAAGACTTTGCTAGACTCTGTCAGGTCCGTCGCAAATTCGTTGTAAGAACCGATAAAGATCAGCTAGTGCCCCACCCCATAAAATTGCACGTTACGCCACTGTATTGAATTATATATATATATATATATATATATATATATATATATATATATATATATATATATATATATGGGAATCAATCCTTGGGATGCGTATCAGGACAATTACCCCTGAACAATCACCTGCTCCCCCCAATGAAAATCACCCCCGGAAACTACCCCCTGTAGGACAATAACCCCCTCCCCCATCCCCGAGGTCACCCCCCCCCCGAAAATTACCCCCTGTTCATTAAAGGGGAAGTCCACCCTGAAAATAAGTTGGTTTTAACAAAGGAATAATATTTATTCGGGGGTAATTGTCCTCGGGGGGGGGGGATTTGTCCTGCTGGTAATTGTCCTAGATCCCTTGGGATGATCAATTAATTTACTAAACAGAAGAACAGTTATTGGCCATCAACCTAGTTGTTCGGTCTCTGAAAATCCCTTTTTTCCATGATGGCTTGCGCTTGTGTGGATAACCTTCATACGGCCTATTCGAAAGAAAGCTGCAATGATGTTCTATCCATGTTTCTCAGTTTTCTCTTCATGTATACATTTAATTACCTTGTAGGTTTGTTATTCTTTGTATTCGTTTCGTTTTGTAATGTTGTGTTTTATTTGATTTTGTTTCCTTTCTTTGTCCATTCCTTTATTCTTCTTTTCTTTTTTGAGGTGGGGGATGGGTGGCTCATGAAGAGCAAAAAAGTAATCTGGTTACAGAACGTCTTAAATTTAAAAGAGGCGCGTGCACGATCGAGAAATTGGAATATATAATTATTGTTTATTCTACAGAGTGACAAATCTTGTGCTTCCATTAAATATCATAATTACGTGATTTAATTGACATAAAAAATGTAGTCATTCTAAGTTTACATGTTCAGGAAAGAAACCGTTCTCAAATCCTGCTTTTATTGTGACAGCAATATCCATGTGGCTATCTCTATATATAGATCAAATCACGGACCTACTTCCATGATCAAATCTTCCACAGTTATATTGATTCGGTTTCCTTCATAAACGGCCTTTCATCAATTTGTGTACTGATTTTTTTATCCATGGCGCCCTCATCTAATTGTTTGTCTGTCGTCACGGACATGTCTGAATGCATGTATCTTTGTTAGCATGCTTCTGGTAGGGAAATCACATTTTCCTGCTTCTGGCAAGTCATGACACGTGGGATATGTTTTGTTTCCATGTTTTATCTGAACATATCACTAAATAGAAAAATAACCTGCCCGATGCTTATTTCCCGGCGTTTTCTATGCACGAACACGTTATCAATCATGTTTCAATACTTCAATATCATGCAATCTTCAATAGAATGTGATATGCGAAAATGTACCAGGTCACTGTACGTGCTGCTACAATACAATATCGAAGTTTTTAGCACTACGCCCCCCCCCTTTCTCAGGCAATTGGGGGTCTTTTAAAATTGATTTAAAACTGAGGTTTCACGAGACTAACGTGTCGGTCTCACGAGCCTTCTGACAATTTTTTAGCGTGTCCATAATTGTCGGTCTCCCAAGCCGTCGGTCTCCAACACTGTCGGTCTCGAAGATTGCACTGGAATGTCCCCTTGCGATTGTATTTATGAAAAGTTTTTACACTGCATCATGCTCTGAGTATACTGATTTATCAATTTTGTGGTATATACCCATATCTTCAGAGGGGAAATATGAATATCTGTCATGCATGCAGCATATGACATAGGAATTTATTCCGCCATTGTCACTGTGAGTTGGTATTTCCTAGATTGATGAATGGTTTTATTAAGTGTTAATAACATATAAATGGCTATCGCTCTTTGTTCTAATCGAAACGAGGATGTATCAGTTCGAAACTAATTTGGAGTGGCACATTCTTTCGATAGACGAGTGTTGGAAGAGATTAGTAGAGAGGAGAGAGAGAGAGAGAGAGAGAGAGAGAGAGAGAGAGATAGCGAGAAAATGGAATGAGCCCGTCCTCGTATTATTTTAATTGCTGGAATTACTAGTTAATTATTGCTTCATTCATGCCAGCTAGATGAAGGCAAGATACTTTTTATCCCAAAAAATTAACGCTTGGTTTTTATGATCTACTTAAGTGTTGGGATCCCAACAAAATTGATGGCGAAATGTCACTTACATGTAAATTGTATCATAATATGAAAGAGGATGTCATTTAAAACACATTTCTGCACGGATTTTCAAAACGAATGTGTTCGAAGCCGAATATTGATGAAAGAATACAACATTTTATGCTTTCTGCGTACAACAGAAAACCCAAATTACGTATTCTTTTATCAATATTTGTCTTCAAACACATATTTTGGAGGAGAATTCTTTGCAGAAGTGTGTCTTAAATGACACCCTCTTTTACATCGTGACACAATTTAAGTGAAATTTTTGGCGAATTTGGGGCCCCCAGCACTTAAGAGGCAGACCGTAGATTTCAAGATTTTTGGGTCGGTCGCACAGGGCAATAAAACATCTTTTTTTTTAGGCCTTATTGAGATACTTTTGTGCGTGTTCTTTTTATGCTTTGCCATCAATGTCTATCTAATTTTTTCTTTTCAGTTTGTCAATTCTAATATTTTGAGGTCAATTTTTTTCCTTACCTTGTTTATATTCCAAATCGCACTTGGAATCGTTTTTTTTTCTTATTGTCTATTTATGCAATTTGATGCGATTTACTTCTTTTATGTCCTAATCTTCTCTCAACAGTTCGTTTATTTCAAGGAGTTATTTACACACAAAAACTATGACAATAAACCGGTTACAGGATTTTTGTACCATGATTCCTTCATGCAAACATACTTGTACAATCGGTCAAAGGAAATAAATCTCTGTAAATCCGGCTTCCAAATTACCCCAAAAGATTCGAGTTCATATTTTGACTATAGCTTGTTTCGCGGTCACCTTTTCGATAATGAAGCATATCCCCCTTCTAAATGTATCAATTCTTGTTGCACCTGTATACCTGCATATCGAAATAACTTGGATCCTGAAATTCAAAATGAGTTGTTAAAAAAAGGTGAGGTAAGAGGTATTCATTTCTTGAATATTGTTTTTAACGGAGCATAGAAATTGAACGAACTGGGTCCATAATACCTATACCACGTATAGTTTACATTAACTTATTGTGTAAATGCACGAATTATATAACTCTGTAGGGGTTCACTACTACACAAAGAAGTATGAGTGTATACCACGGAATTCGTCGACTCATTCTACATGTATGATGTATTATGTGCTCTGTTCACCCATGCCTGAAAAATTTATTTTTAGAATGAAAAGAAAAAAGAGATTTGTATGCGGAACTGGTAAAGAATGAATGCACAATACCTGGGGTTAATATAGGCCAAACTTTTTGTTGTTCTCATGAAGGGGATTTCCGGGGGAAAATCAAAGTTCAGTGATAATTTGATGACAATCTTCTTAATATATATTTTGACGTTTTTGTTTACAACAGCATCAAGGGCTTAATACTGCATGGTAATAATATAAATTATCAATATAAATGATGTGTTGTCTGACCCACTGAAGCTAGTTTGAGGCGAGACAAAGGGGTCCGAACGTCGTCCGTCCGTCGCATGTTAAAAAATGTTACAGTTTACCTGCAAGATTCTCTTGTGACAAGTAACTTTGCAATTGTCAGTCCTATTGTGACCAAACATGGGTCACATATGCATTCGGGGGACCTCCACACTGATGTTGTCAAGGGTCACATGCTAAGGTCAAAGTTCGTTTGAGGTTATATATTACAGTTTACAAGTAAGACTCTCTTGTGACAAATAACTAATTTGCAACTGTTGATTGTATTGTGAGTAAATTTGGGTCACCGATGCATTTTAAAATGGTGCTGTCGGGGGTCACATGATAAGGTCATAGGTCATTTGAGGTCATTTGTTAAAGTTTACATGCATGACTTTCTTGTCACAAATAAAGTGCAACCAAAGTTGGGTCAGGAATGCTCTTTGAGAAATTTTAGTCAATATTTTGTCACAGGTAGGCGAGGCACAATTTGACAATTGTCTTATATTATTTTTGATATTCATTTTATCCTGTAATCTCCATTTAGATATGAAAATATACCACTGATAATGACGAAATAGTGTACAAAAGCATTTAATCATAATTATATCAAGCATTATGCATGAGATAAGTGTATCTAGGCTGAGTCATTGATATATTGACTAATGACTAATAATTCTAACGTTGTATGCTCGTTTAATTCATTAAATTATCATTATAGCCTACATATAAAGTTTATGTTTGATGTATGTCCGTTGAAATTCATGGACATTTCTACAGCACGACCAAACTATAAACGAAGTGTTGCATTCATTTGTCCAGAGTTATTGTGTTTGAAAACTCATTAAATGTATTCTTGTTGTGTCAGGCCTCCGACAAGCTTAAATCATTTTAGTAGAGTCATGCGGAACATTTGAATAATTTTATTGTGAACAGGTCTATACAACACATATTTAGTCAAACAATGAAATTATCAATTTTGTTACGTTCATATAGAACCTCTTCTTGATGTTTTAAACAAAATTACGATGGAACCTGTTGACCATTACATGTGTAAAGTTATATCACAACTGAGTGTATTAGTATTACCTATTGAATGTGTCATTCGTATAGCTTCGGGTTTTTTCTGTTTGTTTGTTGTTGTTGTTTTTTACCATGAATTATGTGGCTTAAAGTACGCAGGATATTGTGATATTTTGGTATGTTTGTTTGTTTTTATATAAACTTATCTATCACTATGGTGAATTAGTCTCTAGGAAAACGTCGAGAATGGTGTTTGAAATGCATACCATGTGAAAGAGTGCATGAGGGGATGATAACTTGTTTATTATTTAAATTATCGTTAGTACAAGAGAATTATTCTATCCACTCATCAACATGCACTGTTTTCATTATTTTTGGATATTTTATTTTATTTTATGCAATTTATGCAATCATCTAGTCTTGTCTCGATCCTTAGAAATTAATGTCAGATTACTTTGGCATCATATCAAAACTTGTAACCGCAAAAGATGACGTGCATTTGAAGTATGGTTTCAGATAGAATACCACATAATGTTAAAGTCCTGTTTTGCTATACTGAAGCGTTCACTCATTTATTCTTGTGAATATTACGGATTTGGATTTTCCCAAAACCATCGAAACAGATAGACCGTGCAAACATGGCAATTAAAAAGCAACTTGTTTTATCTTTACAGGTTTGATTTAAAAACGTGCACTACGAGAATGGTTCCCTTATTATTATTAAAATTTATCATAACAATAAAACTGAACAAGATATTGAAAGATATATTTAACAAAAAGCATTGACCTGAAAGAGTGCAACATGATCCGGGCAAGTAATAACAAGGAAACTTTGACACAGAATTCTAATTTACTTTAATCACGACAAGGAATAGTCTGAATGCTTGAAGAAAGAAAATAATCTAAATCCACTTATCCATCCATCCATCCAGTGGCGGATCCAGGGGGGGGGGGGGGGCCCGGGGGGCCGGCCCCCCCCCCCCTTGAGAAAAAAATCATGTAAAATCACGTGATTTTTACTTTTTGGGGGGTTGGGCCCCCCCCCCCCCCCTGGCGCTCAAGGGGGGGGGGGTGCAAATTGAAAAAATTTCGAGGACAAAAAAAAAAAAAAATCTGCTCACTACCCCCCCTGTCTCTCCCCTCTCTCCTTCCCTTTCTCTCCCTCTCCCCATGTCCGTCATGGCTGTGCTTCAAGTGTTCTCTCTCTCTCTCTCTCTCTCTCTCATTTCGTTCCTTCTCTACTCCTCTAGTCCTGTTTATGACACGCGAATATTAACATTATTAATGTGTTTTGCAATAGGGTGTTTCATCGGCCAGTGGTTTGACACGCATGACACCACCCATTAAAGACCCTGATATTAGAGGACGGATATTGAGTAGACCTTATGTACTACATTGTATGTAAACATTGATCTTACTCAATATTAATGTATGAATAATAGTGGGAGGTACAGGTATTTCTCACCAAGGTGCTTGGTCTCACCATACTCTTCCTGTAGAGATTGTTTTTTATGATTATAATCCAGCCCATTTCCTTATTTAACTCCCACCTCAATTCCCAATGAAATCGTTTTTGTTTACCTCTCCATCTGTGTCTGATCTCCCCATGTCTCTCCCTCACTGTCTCTCTCTCTCTCTCTCTCTCTCTCTCTCCCTCTCCACCTCCCTCTCTACCTCCCTCTTACAAGCCCCATCTTATGCAACCTTGTCACCCATCTTTCCAACCATGGATACCTACATTATATATGTGTTCCAAGTAACATTTATGTACCTCAAATATTGTCATATTCTGTTTTTTGTTTAAACACGCGCAGTGCATTTTCTATCCCTTAATTTCGTACCACACTATATAGGCCTAAACATCTCATATCCATCATTTGACATTTGAATTCCAAGGCCCTGATTCAGACAAAAATGATATCAAAGGCTCCTTCACTCACTTTGCATTAAGCTTAGGAAGAACAAGACATGAGGAATGAAATATCTCATATCTTCATGTGAAGATGTTTGATAGTAACTTTAAACTTGCTTATTTTCTCATTGGCCTGGCTATCATTTTTGACGGTTTCAGGTCATGTGATTTTATTCATTTCATATAATTCTATGAGTCTCTGTCCTTTCCTCCAGGATGTTCCCACCCTCATGAAAACATAAACATGTATTAGTGACTAGTACAACATGTATATACACACCCTGGAAAAATGAATGGCTTTCGCTTTCTAGCTCATTCAAAGTCTAAGGGGAGTAGCCTACGCGCAAGAGGGGCAGCCCCCCCCCCCCCTTCGCTGTTCATCCGCTTAAAAAGGGTCATCCAGGAAACTTGGGGGTCAAAAACCTAAACATATCCCTAACCCCACGCAGTGTATCCATGTGACTCCACACGGTTCCCCAGATCAACAGGTCACCTCTTTTCCTCTTCCACATTTCCTCTTTCTGCAATCTCTCGAAAAATCTGGAAATGTTCACTTTCCCTTGCTGACTCATCCTCCCTCAGCATTACAAAATGTTTGCCCTTTGACTTGCTTCCTTCCGTCCTTGGCACTCGATCGTGCCTATACATGTGGTTCATGTTTCTTCACGTATATACTCGTAAGATCATGTCTGGTAAAAAAAAAAAAACACTTTATATAACAAAAATAATTTTACCCCCCCCCCCCCCCCCCCCACCGATCACATGATTCTGCGCTACAGTTCTCTGTTATATACAACTAAGCACATGTTACTTTGTGGTGCGCTCGCCCAACACATATAGATGACAATGATAAACTTGTTACTAATTCGAACATAATAATTACATTTTTTTCCTTACTATTAAAATCCTTTATTTTCTTTGCTTATATGCAGATTATCACTGATGTGGACAAAATGAAGAGCATTGTGCAATATACAAGAGAGAAAGCTTCACATTTAATGAAGTGACTGTGTTTGGGTGTGCCTATTGATTTCATCATTCATTACCTTGCGGCCTAGTTTATAATGTGAAGGTTAGATGTTGATCATCGTGTATATGATTCTAGATGATCCATTAGCTATGCTTGTCACAATCATTCCACACCTCATAATGTATTGCCTAAAATCCTTCATTATATCATGAGCTTTTGTAGTAGGTTCATGTTGTGGGTTCATGTTGTGGGTTCATGATTAGACCTAGTCATGGAAAGTGTTTCATCATCACCCCAACCCTTAGAAATTTCCAACTTTTCCTCAGGTATCGCGCAACGCCCTGATATTTCGGGACTTTCATGAAATTGTACCCGCTGTTGCAATTTTCCACTCCTCTCCATCCCCTATGAGAGAACAGATGACGCCTTCATCGCTTTGTATTTCATTAATCAATTACCTTCATTGGTATTTGTTTAACAGGTAGAAGAGGAAAAATCCGAATCGGAGGCTATTGCGAAATAATTCTATAAATAGCTCGCCGGGGTTTGACGTCGCGGTTGGAATCACGAGTACAATAACACTCCGTGTGTTATGCACGCAGAGCGAAAATCCAAAAATTCGGGGAAACCCCCCATGAGAAAGATGACGCAATGCGTGTAGCACGGGCGCGTGCGTGTTTACATTCAAAATACACGGGGACAAAGGGCACTTTGCAGTTTGCACCAGGCATGTAGAACAGTGTACATGCATTCCTTTGTCGTTACTATTCCAGAGATATATAAAGGTAAATGCTGTCGAGTTGTCTCACAATCGTTACGAGCTACATGCAGAGTAAACGTATCGCGAGTGTCTACAGTTTCTCTTGTTTCGTTTTGACGTGAAATAGTATATAGCAAAAATGAGAATTCAAGTCTGGTATATCGCCGCGGCCGCCCTGACATCCGTTGCAGTGGAGATGGTTTTGTCAGCGAAAGTGGTAAGCATTAATTAGCTGGAATTTTGGTTCTTTTGTTTTAATCATTGATTGTTTATATCAAACTCAAGCGTGTTGCTAAGCTTTATCACAGTTGACACTTGCAATTATTAAAGGTAATCAAATTAGATGTCATGGATTGTTATACTTCATGTTCTATTCGCCGTCGTCATGATTTTTTAAACTTTTTATTAATCAGATGGTCTTTAAATGAAAAAAGTACATAGATCTATACCATTTTAGACTCGCTGAAATAACTGAATCATGCTTGAATAGGTGTTCACAAATGCATTCAAATTTATCGAACCCGCTCCCCAGCCGTGCCTGGTAGTATTCACTAACACGTTACAAGCCATTATTTGTCAGCTATCAGAACGAAATTTGCATATATTGTAGGCCTATTGCTTTATGCTTTATCTGACAAGTGACGAGCTTCGGGGTCAATTGCAACGATTGTTGTAGAGATGTGAATACAAATTCTTAAAACATTTTGTAAATTGATTTAACCATGGCTCGCCCTATCATGACTGTGCATGCACACGGTAATCGCTGTGTAATAGCACTCGTGTATTTGCGTGGGTATGAGTCACTCCGAGTCATGTGCATCTCGACTTCTTTGTTTCTCGATCCTTAGTCATTCTGTCTGTCTTCATCAATATTCCCCATTGTGATGTTCGTTTTTTAGTGTCCTCTTTATTATATATGCGTTGTTGTTCTTCTTCATTCTTTCACTTGCTCGATCTCCTCATTAATCTCTAACTTCCTGCTTCTTTGAAACGGGATATTCCACTCTTTCCGCATCCTTCTCTTCTCATCTTACTCTTTCAATAGCGGATCCTGGCACTCGCTCTGGTTATGCATGGGTTTGCCATTTGGCGGAGACTGTGGTGGCGGGGGTGGTGGTCATTGTATGTGTGTGTGGGTGGGGGGGGGGGGGGTTCGTGCGTTCTTACCGTGTTCGGAATGCTCGAGGTCCTTAATGTGGATCTATCCCAAATTCACTTGATGTATCCTGCTAAAAGCCTTTTGTGCCCTTCTTTTTAAATTCTATTTAAGCCAGTGAGCCCAGGGAGAGATCAAGGATTTTTGGAAAAGTGGGGCACAATTCGGGAAAAACCCATACATAATAGGGCATGTTTTTAAAGGAGGGGGATATATTGTATCTTGTGCATTTATGTCGGTCACTGAATATATGCCTTGTTTTTCTGCCCTTTCTCCTACCGCTTCTTTTTTATTGTATTTTGTATCTCCCTTTATTGTTTTTTTTTTTAATTTTAATGTCTAATATCCATGTTTGTCTTTGCAGCCCATCACGTCTTGCCCGCTGAATCACTACGCCGTCCTCAATGATGAGGGGAACGGTATCTCGTCATGTCGAGTATGTGACTCCTGTCCGCCAGGCTACGGGGTAGTTCAGCCCTGCTCGCCCACTAAAAACACCGTCTGTGGACTCTGTGATATGGGTAATTACTGCTTTTGGAAACGTTTTAATCAATCGTCATTAAATGCGGAGTAGTTTAATTGATCACAGATGAAAATCCGTACTAAACCTCAGGCTTGAACTAGGCCTATGTGAATTCGAGCAAATCGTGACAGTGTTATAAGTGGAAGTGTAATGTTATGAGGAGGGGTGGGGAGGGGGCACTGCGAGGGAGTGAATCGACAGAGCAGGGGGCGGTAAGGGGGTTATGTCATTCTGAACCCCCCCCCCCCGCTTTTCAATGCTTTCATTCTCCCGTCCCACCATTCCTTCACACCTTTCATCCTTCTAAAGCAGTTCTCCGCTTTCAATGGGGAGGGGGTGATACCCATTTCACTATTTTCTTGTGATAAATAATATGTACGTATAAAATATACAAATACTCTATATGGTAATCTTATACATTGGCCTAAATCCTCTTTACATCAAATATCTTACTTATCTTTCAACAGGCACATTTTCAACTACAGTAAGTGCAACGGCCAGCTGCAAACCTTGTCAAACTTGCCAGAGTGTAGGCATGGTGAAAGAGTGTAGTCCCATATCAGATACTGTATGTATGGAACATTGCCCGTTTGGTAAGTAGTTTAATTTACTTCACAGTACCTTGTATTACACCTCAGTCAATCACACCGCCAAACTGACCATAGTTGGTGTTGTGTCTGGGGGGGGGGGGGGGCACTCCCAACATGACTGGCTTCGCACCCGCGTCCAAGCATCGAAATGGTGTCTTTTACAGCTATACGGCGTGGTCGACGTTTTCAGGTTCATATGTTTCGTTTCGGTAGTTGTATCTTTTAGATTAAAACACTTTGATCTTTTATTGGTATAGGGTTAGGGTTAGTATTCAGTGAAATAGTACCTTGAGCAATTTGCGTCAATGTTTTCAAAGCCAATTATAACAATTTAGAGGTGTTTAACTTTAAATTGTGTGATACGCCTTTTAGGGTCCATTTCGGAAAATGTGCGATACATACGCCATTAGGTTCATTTCAGAAAAGGTGCGATACGCCATTTGGGTCCATTTCAGAAGTTCATGGACACGGGTGGGTAGCACTTGTGTATCGTTCTCGATGTTGTGTGTGCCTGGCGGATAAATGGGATGATAACCACGCCTGATGATAACTCGTCTCAATGCCACTCGAATATCAGGGCTGTATATAATTATGTCATCATCATTATGTTGTAATGGATGACTCACGTCATGAGCCCATTTGGACAGATATTAAAATGTATAGACATAGTTACTGTTATTGCTCGCTTAATTCTATTTATTACTCAAAATAGCAGAAATGAGTAAACCGTTTAGTTCATTATGATAGCCTATAGTGATTTGCGAAGTTATGAAATGAGAAATTACAAACACCCGCCGGTAAATAGGAAAGGAATTCAAGTTATACCAGAGAATTCCAACCCCCTGGTTATACTTTTTCTTTTATATGTCGCCGGGATTTCTTGACATTTTTTGAAATCTTATCATTTATTCTTGCCATTGCTGATCATACGGTTTCCAACCTCCAAAGCCCTACACAATTTTAAAAGCTTGATACTAGTATAACGTATAAAGCCATGCAGACATGGCAAATTAGGGAAAGCCAATGCAAGCCATCCATCAGAAAAAGGTTGTTGTTTGGTTGTTACATTAACTGATTTTGTTTCAAATCCAACAGGCGAGTACTTCGATCCTACAACGCTTTCCTGCCAACGATGCTCATATTGCTTCCCCGACCGCCTCTACGCCCGAACAGCCCGCGTAGTCGACTGCCAGCGACAGGGGCTCCACATTGACCACCAGTGCTCACCGCTACCTGGTGCCGATGCGGTCGGCGTTGTGCATTCGCGGGTTGTAACCGCAGATCGGCACCGCAGCGCTGCCGCGGCCAGACGACATAGAGGCCGAACGGTACATACCTCTTCCGCAGACAGAACAGCGCAACGTGCAGAGATGAGTGATAGGAGACAACCGACACCGGAAAGGGCACCGGAAACCCAGAATAACAACGGTAGGTGAAGAACTGGGGAAATGGCACTAAAACCCACACAGATCATAATCAGGCTGACAATTTTCCTTAAAAGCCATGTACTCCTTGGAAATGAAGATATGAATATATTACCATGATATGAACGAGGCACTTGTATCCTTGTACATTAGTATTACCTCATCCCCAATGGGAAAAAACTATCTTCATGATAATAACATGAAGCAACACATTTATAACATTTTGTTTGTTGCTTTGTTTCTCCACAGATGAAGCCTATGTCGACGTGGTCCCGTCAACTATTCCTCTTTTCCGAAGTACCGAAGCCCCTCCTCTGTTTGAAGCTAGACCTATGAGACCCGACAAAGTATTCGATCCTTCAAAAATTGAGACATCAGCAAAGTCCGGGGTACAATTTACTTCAACAAATGCATACGATAGTAAGGACCAAGCATCGAGGGTATATATTGATACTACGAAGCATGACTTTGACCCATCAAGTATTCCCAAATCTTATAAACAGGAGTCCATAATTCCTTACTATCACTCGTTGACTTCGACGGACGTCGTTCTCCTAATCGTCATCGTCATCATTGTCATGCTGATCTCAATCGTGATAACGGTTTTATCGTGTTACTGTTGGATGAGCAGAGGTAAAAACTTGCATGGACAAAAGGTTAAGGCAATCAGCTCGAAACCGCCATCGAATGCGTGGTCGTACCAGGACATGATGCCGTCGTCGTTGACAGAGCACCTGATCCAAGACACACCGCCGCAGTCGAGGAAACTCATGACATGTGTTTGAGTGCGTCACGAAAGATTCAAGCAGACACTAAATAAACTTTATTACAAGAAACAGATATATTTTCTATCGAACTCCCTATACGACATGGGTTAGAGGGTGTGACGAAAGATCCGAGTGGACACTGAGCAAACGTTATTGCAAGGAACAGAAACATATCTCTCCCGTCCTACTCCCTAATAACCGTTGCACTCGAGGCGCCAGTTTCCTGACGCATGTTTCCTGACGCATGACTGCGTCAGCGACTGGCACGGCAGCCCTTGACGCGACACTTGAGACTGAAATACCGTATGAATACATGAAGAGATTATTTTTGCTGTGGTGTCGTTATTTTGCCATCTAGGCATGATGGCTTTAGCCACTTTCAAATACATGTACAGGTGTATGTGAGTTTTCAGAAACAAATGGGGTAAATGCAATCGTAGGGCAACATATCTTCCAGGACATTATAAGGGGAATATTCTATTGATACTGACTCATCATAAAGATGTTGCCTTCAATGTGGAAGATCGTTTTTATGTTTATAATTCTACAGTACTATAAATATTACCACCACCACCAATACTACTACTACTACTACTACTACTACTACTACTACTACTACTACTATTCCCATAATTACAACTACCACTAATTCTTCTACCAATATTTCCATCTAAGCAGCTGCGTTATAATAAGAGTGACCACATTTTAATAATGCAACAGACAGTAGGCATCAGCATATCATCGTATTTTTTGATATTGCAGTTATGATTATATTTGGATATTACTGGTAATAATCATTGGGTGTACCATATTTATTGATGTTTTTTCTTGAATTCCATTTAGAACAACATATTCATCTCAATGCAATGGGCTTTTTAATCTATACGCATCAGATAATAATTGGAATTGAAAGTACGATGGATCAAACTCAAAACAGAGCAGAAAACGTTGGAAAATTTGCCATAATCTTAAATTTAGAACCCTTATATTTTAATATTAGTCTTTATATCTGATCTTACAACATTACTAAACCAACGTAAACTACGGGAGGAGAAGAATGGTTCTTCATGTAACTACGACTCGGACTATAACAACTTTAATAGAAATATGTATTTTTTTATAATGTCAGGATTGATTACCTATATTGTATATTATTATGTAAGGTCTTCGCACGCGTATAGTGTATACATGGACTCGTATCACGATGCGCGTGCCTTTCTGAGTTTTCAATGTAAATAATTATTTGTCAGTTTGCAGTTTGTCAATTCGTCTTTTAATATACAGTATACATGTAGTATGACTTGTATGTATAGACTTTGACTTGTTGTCGAAGGTTCGTTAACCGAATTTTAAAACAATCAGATGAATTTTAAAACAAAGCAATAATATTCCAAGTTTGCGGTTGTTTGCTAGACTCGCCAATCAGTCTTCACATTTGCTTTTTATTTTTCAATTTTTAACCGTTCCAAATGGCATGATTGACTTTTCAAAACGCGCATCGCTTATCAGTTGTTTTAGGATATCTCATCGTTCCTGCCAAATTTAAAACGTGGCAGTTGCAACGTGGCAAAGGTTGATCATCTCGCATGATTTACAGTAAACATTATTAAGATGTTTGTTCACGTAGGCCTGTTCGTTTATATAACAGTTTTTTTTAATGATCGAATACGAACGTGGGAAACTTCAATGCACATGTACGCATTATTCAGCATTACACACGTGTGTTATGAAGAAAGGAGATTATATAGCACATGTTGTATTTATCTTCTATAAAACTCTACCAAAAACGAAAGAAACATTTGGCTCTGTGATGTAATACTCAATACAATATCACTGGAATGTCCCTATATTTTATAGCAGAATATCTCGTAATATTACTATAATCCTAGCCAATTTATAATTTTTATGTATCACGATAAGCCGCAATAATGGTCGATTGTTTATAGCATGGAGATTGTTTCGAATTTTCTTGAATTTTATCGAGAACTGTTTTAATGACTGTGTTTTTTACAGTTTTGGTATTTCAAAAATGTTAATTTATTTTCCTAATTCAAATAAAAAAACGATTAAACTCAAATTGGTAATTTGTGTACAAGTGTGACTCATTATAGGCATATTCTGTGTGTAGGCTTATTTTAAGTACCTATACAAATGGGTGGTGTTTACAAGTTTGGACGATGGTGATAAAATGACGTCATCGAGTAATTTGTTTGGGTATCGTATTTTGGCGTGAACAAAGAACTAGAACCAGTTTGAGTCGTAAGAAATCCTTTAGTCATTTGGTATTTTCGGATTGATACATCACATGTCGCTGAATCCTTTGTGTATCAAAATATCAAATGACTCATACGTTTTTATTTCTCTTAATGCAGAGGAATGGACATTCATTCTTTTCAGGAGTCCTTCTAGGGCTCACTTCCTTTTGGAGTTGAATCCACTTCAAATTATATTGGAATTCGCTCTTAAGTATTTGCTTGAGTTATTCTTTTGAGAATGGATTCTACTTTTTTTAGCATGGATTTCCACTCCATAACGAAGTGATCCGTGATATATGACTCACTGAAGAGTGCATTTCCTCTCATACTGTATATATTGAGCATGTCGAGAGAGAGAACTGATAATTTGATTGTGATGATAATGTTGTTGTTAATGTCGTTGTTGGTGATGATGATAAATGATGATTATAATGATAATGGTGATGAAGGTGGTGGTGATGGTGATGATGATGATGATGGGTTGAGGGTGAAGGTAATGACTTTAATACTGAAAAATTTGTAATTAATGTTTATCATAAGCAGGATCCGACAGGATAAAGATTTAAGGTAATCAAACATGACAAGAAGCGCCTGCCAATCGTCCAAAATTCAGCTTTTATTTTATTTTATTTCATTTCAAGGAACATACATGAGTATAAGGGTAACACAAAGACAAGAAAACGAAGTAAGGTATCAAATATGATAACAAAAGATAAAAAACCGTCAACTAATGCCTGAGATCACCAAAAGAAATAAAGCTTCTGTATATTATTAAGGCTCTCCTCGTTAGCTTATGGTATACATCGATCCACTGCATATATCTATTCATCCTATAATGCAATGGTTTGCGAGGTATTGTTCTAACCGTGTACTTGTTGTTATTTTATATCTTTGATTTTGGGGAAACTTTTGAGGATAAGTAGTAAGATAAGCGAATATCGTTAAGGTCTGGCTTTGATATTTGAATGAAAACAAGGATCGTGAAAGGTAATAATCAGCAGCGAATAAACTTTGTTTAGGGAACTTGGACTCCAGACTTCATAACTATATTGATAACAGTAACGTGTTGGACTTTAAATTGTATTGTAATGAATATTTGACTTTAAAAGTAAATGAATACTTTTCAAACCTTTAAAAAAAGTATCTTCTGTTAATTTTGATAACACATAATTAAAATGAAACATCAAACAGTTTTAAGCTTTTGTCTTTTGAATGTTAACGCCCTTTTTTGTGGGGGGGGGGGGAGATTAAAAAAATGCTATGTTAGATCAAATCTAAATCAACTAAGTTTTATTTATTTATTTATTTAATTGTCTCTAAGTGTTTGTTTTCTTGATTATTTGCTATCAATGTTATTCTGGACTTGGTTTGCATAATGCCTTTTCGAATTACCAATAGAGCTATGCTGTGACCTCGGTACGAAACTACGTGTAAATGTAATGTGCAATTTGTCTAAATTTTATGAATTTATAAAGTCATTGTCATCTTGAAACTACAAGAACCACAGAAATATTTCTTCTTAATTCTCGGTATTTGCAGATATACTTTTACGAATATGTATGTCGAAATCTAATGACTCATATATTATAACAATTATTTCACTTTCGTTTCATGTTTTTCTTAACTTATGAAAGAAAAATACATTTTTTCCTTTTGGAAACGGGTATTTAAAAAAATTGCGACAGATGTTGTTTCCTGGGCAAGTCTACCATCTAAAGATCAAGGTCACATTATCTTTTTATATGGAAGATTAGTGTTTCCATGTTCACCAATACACATTTAATTGGGCGGTCCAAGACCCGGGGGGGGGGGGTCATGAATTTGCTGTTTACTGTTCAATGTTCATTATATTTGTCCTTTGCTCGTTGTTATCTTGGCTTTCGATCTTGTATAACTTCCACCCGTTTCTATCGTTATTTCATATCTTTAATTTGGGGAAAACTCTTGGGGATATATAGTAAGATAAGCGAAAATCGTTAAGATCTGGCTTTAATACTTCAATGAAAACAAAGATCGTGAAAGGTAATAATCAGCAACGAATAAACTTTGTTTAGGGAACCTGGACTCCAGACTTGATAACTATATTGATAACAGTCATGTGTTGGACTTTAAATTGTATTGTAGTAAATATTTGACTTTAAAGGTAAATGGATACTATTCAAACCTTTAAAAAAAAGTATCTGCCGTTCATTTTGATAACACATAATTAAAATGAAACATCAGACAGTTTCAAGCTTTTGTCTTTTGAATGTTAACGCCCTTTTTTGTGGGGGGGGGGGGATAAAAAAAAGTGAATGCAATAGATCAAATCTAATCAACTCAGTTTTATTTTTTGGATGAAATTGTCTCTAAGTGTTTTGTTTTCTTAATTATTTGCTGCCTATGTTATTCTGGACTTAGTGTGCATAATGCCATTTCGAAATACCAATAGAGCCTTTTACGCTATGAACTCGGTACGAAATTACGTGTAAATGTTATGAGCAATTTGTCTAAGTTTTATGAATTTATTAAGTTATTATCATCTTGAAACTACATGAATCACAGAAAATTTTCTTCGTATTTCTCGGTATTTGCAGTATACTATTAAGGATATGTATGTAGAAATCTAATGACTCATATTTTATAACAGTTATATCACTTTCGTTTCATTTTTTTCTTAACTTATGAAAGACAAATACTTAATTAACCCCTAACATTTTTCACTTTGAAAACAAATATTGCAACAAATCCCGACAGTCGTCGTTTCCTGGGCAAGTCTACAGATCAAGGTCACATTATCTTTTTAAATGGAAGATTATTTAGTAGGCTTGCGGGTGCACCATGTAAGAGAGAGAGGGAGGATTGAGGAGTCCTGAAAAGGACTCTCGGTAATCTTTCTTGAGGGTTTTTCAAGACTATACCAACAGTCCTCATTCAGGACTACAAACCCTCAAGAAAGATTACCGAGAGTCCTTTGCAGGACTCCTCAATCCTCCCTCTCTCTCACATGGTGCACCCGCAAGCCTACTGTATATCTACATCACCATGCAAGCCGACACTTACAAGCAGTTTGGAAGATTATTGTTTCCATATTGACGAATACGCATTTAATCGGGTGGTCCAATACCTGGGGGAGGGGGGTGGAGATTCCCCATTCTCATGTATTCACCACTGATTTTCACTTTTGCCCATAAAGTCGGAATTCAGTTTTATTACCACTTTCCATGAAATGATTGCGATAATATGATTTGTAGTTGATAGATAATTCGTTTATGTTCTCAGCCGGAGCTTTATTAATCAATAACAGTTGATCATTAGAGTTCTGGGCCT